GGGGGCCTGCCTCCCCTGCGTGCTGGGCATTGGAGCGGATGGAGGGCAGCCGGGCTTGTCGCTCTCGCACAGAAACCTGCCGACCGAGCCCAGGTCCGTTTCGTCCTCGCTGCCCGAGAGAAGCTCCGGTAAGGCAAGGTGCCCGCCGGCAGGCCAGTGCGGGGAGGTGTCTCCGGGCACCCCACGTGGGGCAGAGCTTCCCGTGCCAGGCCCTGGCCTGTTGCCCACCCTGGCTGCGATCTGCCCGTTTGCGCTGGCACGGCAGTCCCTCCCCGGCGCGCCGTCCCCTTGTTCAATGTCACTGAGACACTGCTCCTCAGCCGTGGCCAGGGCGGCCGGCACTAGGTTGCATTCCTCTGACGCCAAGAAGAACTCAGCCCAGTCCCTGTCATTCAGCTGGATGCTGTACTCGAAGTTATCCATGCCTGCAGCAAAGCAAGGGGAGGGAGCCAGAGAGATCAGGACATGAAGAGGGGGCACCAGCATCAGCAGAGGTATATGTCCCTAACCCTTTCCCCTAGGTTCCTGCCATCTGCATTCATTCGCCCTCACTGGTTTCCAGCTGAAATCGGCGGGAGGCGAGGGCAGCTCCTGGCAGCCTCAGCGGGATGGCCATGGCTGTGCTGGAGCATAACCCAGCACGCAGCGGCAGAGACCACTGCTACCCCCCGCCGGTCCCTTCTGCCTCTGCTCCCCGAGCACAGCAGCACAGCGCATCTGGGATTCTCTCCACAGCAGCACAGCAGCATAGCAGCTTGGGTACCCCTTTCCTACTCCTTTTGCCTACAACCCATTTTAAAAAGTGAGGGATTTATGCTTTTGAGCATTCCTTTTTTTTTATCATGCATTACAGTAGCATGATGTGCAGTCCAAGCGAGGACATTTCAGCAAGGCACGGCAGCCCCGTCCTCACCCGTGGCTCTGGGGAGGGAAATGCAACAGAGCCCAAAACCAGGAGGGGGGATCCAGCGACAGGAGAAGAAGCAGAGAGACCACAAAGCTGCATCCTACCTGTGCCACAACCTAAGCTGGTGATGGAGCCATTCAAAGAGCCACGCAGGAAAATCCTCCCAGCACAACATGATGCTGTACCCTTGACGGGGGCAGAGAGCTCGGCTCCAGCACAGATCCATTCAGGGGCTAAAAATAAACACACCCCCCTCCCTCCCCAGCATGTCACTTGAGATCCAAGTGTGATGGTTCAGAGAGGGCAGGCCCATATATAGAAGCTGGCGAGGAAGATGTGAGGGAGCCACGCAGGAAAATCCTCCCAGCACAACATGATGCTGTACCCTTGACGGGGGCAGAGAGCTCGGCTCCAGCACAGATCCATTCAGGGGCTAAAAATAAACACACCCCCCTCCCTCCCCAGCATGTCACTTGAGATCCAAGTGTGATGGTTCAGAGAGGGCAGGCCCATATATAGAAGCTGGCGAGGAAGATGTGAGGGCGCCAGCCAGTGCCCTTCTGTTCCACAGCCCCTGGGGTTTCTCTGGGACCACTCCTGATGCCCACTGCTCACTTCTGCCCTCTGCCTAGGGTTCCCCATGGGATAGCCAGCAGAGAAGGAGTCCAGGCCCAGGCCACGGAGCTCACAGTCTTTGGCACAAGCTGGAGTGTGACATCTGGATGTCAATGACTGCTCTTTTTTCATCTTAACCCACCTCTTTGCTTCAGTCTGCAGGTTACTCATTTCTAGGGTGACCAAAACACACCTCAGGGGCATCGTTTGCCTGTTGACAGCACTCCTACAGCACTTATTTCCAGTCTACTGCAGATTTACATCAAAAGATCACAGCCAGCACCACGGTCTTGTGATAAACCTTGCACGGTGCACGGCAGCCGTCCCACGCCACCCAGGAGCATCTGGCGTGGGTGGCAGAGGGAGCTTTGGGTCAAAGACTCAGGGTGAGCCTGGCATGAGGGAGTTACAGGGGAAGCCACCGGCTGAGGGTGGCCTGGCGGATCAGCAACGAGAGCCAGAAATAGCCCTTGGCTCCTGTGAGTCCCGGAGCCTGCCTCCCACTGCATGCCCTCCCCTGTCTCGGGGGCCAGAAATAGATGCCCTGAAGTGGCCACCTGCAGCACAGTGCCCGTGAGCGTGAGCCCAAGCCCAGCTCCAGGCCCCACTGCCCAAGGAGGGCCAGTGCTGCCCTGAGGCTCCGGCCACCCGTTCGGTCACCAGGTTGCTGTAGACCCCAGACTGGAGGTGGCCAACCATGTAGATGCTGCTGGAGCCGAGAGTGACCCATGTGCTCTGCATCCACCTCGGCGTCGGCAACGGGGCCGGAGTGCTGGCCACGGAGCACTGCATGCTCCAGGGAGCCGAGGGCCAGCACCCAACTCCTGCCCCGCGTGCCAGAGGGCAGCCAGGCCCCT